GCAGTGGAGGGGTCATGGGTGTGCAGTGGAGGGGTCATGGGTGAGCAGTGGAGGGGTCATGGGTGTGCAGTGGAGGGGTCATGGGTGTGCAGTGGAGGGGTCATGGGTTTGCAGTGGAGGGGTCATGGTAGCAGCTAAGGACCATGATTGGGTGAGTGACTCTTGTGAATGTCATTGCCTCAGTTAAGACCCAGAGGACCAGAAAGAACAAATGGAGCTCACACAGAGTCAGAGAGGGAAGATGTTTGCATCAGCTAGTTTTCTCCTTCACCCGTTTTATGTGTATCTGAGGCCAGCAGCCTGTGGGATGAAGATGCAGCTCCTCATTCAGGTGAGGCCTGGAGGAATTTGAATTTCTGTCGAGCAGCCTTCATTCATTCATTCATTCATTCATGTTTTTTTTCTCTTTTGAGGTACCATCTCACTCTGTAGCCTTGCCTTGTCTGGAAGTCACTATGTAGACCAGGCAGGCCTCAAACTCAACAGCTACCCACCTACCTTTGCTTCCAGGGTGCTGAGATTAAAGGTATGCAGCACCATGTCCTCCTCCTGGAGACTTTTTTTAAATGTAGTTTTGCTGATTTTTATCCTTTGGTAGTAAAGTCGGTATATTTTGTTCATGTGTCTAAGTGTGTCTAAGCATTCATATTGACTGAAGATACTGTGATTTGAATCTGGTGCTTGCTCCCCAGCTAGCTAGCTAGTTGCACTGTCCTGTGGGGCAAGGGGCCTGTGGTATCTTTAGGACACAAGGCCTTTCTGATGGAAATTAGTCACCAGGGACAGGCCTCCTGTGTCTGCCAGTGATCATGGTTCTCTCTGTGTTTCCTCCTCCTCTTCCTCCTCCTCCTCCTCCTCCTCTTCCTCCTCCTCCTCCTCTTCCTCCTCCTCCTTCTCCTCCTCCTCCTCCTCCTTCTTCTTCTTCTTTTTGGTTTTTCGAGACAGGGTTTTTCTGTGTAGTCCTGGCTATCCTGGAACTCACTCTGTAGACCAGGCTGGCCTCGAACTCAGAAATCCACTTGCCTCTGCCTCCCAAGTGCTGGGATTAAAGGCATGCACCACCACTGCCTGGCTCCCTGCTTCCTGTTATGCTATGATGTGAACAGTCTCTGTCACACTCCGTTGACACTATGCCCTTCCCTGCAATAGTGGAATAAAACCATGAGCCAGAGTAGACTTTTCCTCTATATAATTTTCTTTGTGGGTACTCTGTTCAGAACTACATGAAATTATCTAACTGTATATAAGCAAAAGAAATTAAACCATGGCAAAGAGATATTTGCACACCCATGCTGACTGAGGCAGAATTCACAATAGCTGAGGTATGAATCGGCCTAGATGCTTATCCAGGGAGGGATGAGAAATAAAATATGGGATCAGGTTGGAGAGATGACTCAGCAGTTAAGAGCATTTTCGGATCTTCCAGAGGACCCAGGCTCAATTCCCAGCACCCACATGGCAGCTCACAAGCATCTGAAACACTAGTTCCAAGGGATGGAACACCCTCTTCTGGTTTCAACAGGCACCAGGTGCTCATGCAATATGCATTACAAAAGCAAAGCATCCATTCATGTAAAATTTATGAATTTTTAAAAATTAAAGAAAAAGCATTGTGTATCAACCCTGTGGAATAAAGAAGAATGAAATCCTGTCATTTGCAGTGCAATAGCTAGGAGCAATTATCCAAGCAAAGATAGATCCCCTTTCTCATATATGGAAAAGAGAATGCATTTACCTGGGGCCTGCAGGATGGGTCAGCAGATAAAGAGGCTTGCTCCAAACCTGACATTTGGAGCTTGGTCCCCAGGACTCCTATGGTAGAAGGAACTTCTGCAAGTTCCTCTGAGTTTCACACCCGTGTGTGTGTGTGTGTGTGTGTGTGTGTGTGTATTTAAATCCTCCTGGATATAAAGTATTAGAAGGCGATGGTGGGGAGAGGGAGGGTAGGACTGATTGGTGCGTCCGTGTGATGGTAACACCACATGCACCCAAGTGTGCAGTTTACCCATGCCCGGACGTGATAAAATAGTTTTTAATGTGTGGAATTTGGCGGGGGTCGGGGGGAGATGCCTGGATAGTAAGCTGCTTGCTATGGAAGTATGGGGATATGGTCTGGATTCCCAGAACTCATGTAGAGTCAAATCCTGCAGTGTATCTATAACCCCAGCACCAGGGGCCAGACCGGAAGTGGAGACAAAGCCCTCAGAAGATGATTGGTAGATGGCCTGCACACGACAGTAAACAGGAGCCTCAGCCAATGTGGAAGGTGAGGCTTGCCGGCCAAGTTTGTCCTCTCGCCTCCACACCTGTGCCGTGGCATGAACGCACCAGCACTACACACGCACACACGATTAAGAAAAATAAAAAGCATAGAGCTTTTAAGTTAGAGATTTCATTTTGTGATCAGTGCAACCACGGTTACCAGCAAACCCAGGCGCTGAACTCACAGAACATGTGGGGGGAGGGGAGGGGAGAGAAAAAACATTTAAAAGAACTTTCTTTAAGAGCAAGTTTTACTCTGGAATTCTAAGTTCATTAGTAGACAGTTGTCTATTATGCCTCAGGCCCTAGGCTTGAACCACAGAAGGGGGGGGGGAGAGAAAGACAAGAGACAGAGACAGAGAGACAAAGGCACAGAGAGAGACAGAGAGCAAGGAGAGGAAGAAAGGAAATAAGAAAGAGTTTTTTTTTTTTTTAAAGGATGGAACAATTAAAAACCCAGCTAGGGAACAAAACCTACCATGGAGGTAGAGCGTGGCTTGACTTTAATCCCAGAACCCTAGGAAGAGGCAAGCAGATCTCTGTCTGAGGTCAGCCTGGTCTCCGCGGGGACTTCCAGACCAGCCAGAGATGAATAGCTAGATCCTGTGTGGAATATTTTTTGTTTATTACCTGAAGACAGGAAGAGAGAAAACGACCAATACCTTTTACTTTGTTGGGTTTGTTACAATGTTTTCACTGTTTGCATTTCTGTAAACATTAATGTATTATTTGGGCAGCGAGGGTATAGGTTATCTTGTTTTCTTTTCTTTAATGCTTTTTCCTGTTATGTGTGTGCGTTACTAATAATCGACCCCAGTGCCTCACACCTGCTTGGTCAACACTGTACCACTGAGCCACGTCTCTAACTCTTCTCATATTATTTTTGTTCTTTTGAGACAGTCGCACTAAATACCCAGCTTGCCCTAAGCCCGCTGTGCAGCCAAGGCAGCCTTGGAGCTTGCGGTCCTCCTGCCTCAGCCTCTTAGGCTTGGTTTTCTTTTCTTCTTCTTCTTCTTCTTCTTCTTCTTCTTCTTCTTCTTCTTCTTCTTCTTCTTCTTCTTCTTCTTCTTTTTTTTAAAGAATACTTTATGTACATGAGTGCATTCATTTTATTCATGGATCCTGTGTGGATACGGTAGGGGGGATTCATGCCACTGTGTGTGTCTCTAGGTCAAAAGACAACTCTAGCACATGAGTTCTGGGCGATCAAACTCAGGTTATCTGGCTTGATGGCAAGTGTCCTTCCCCACTGAGCCATCTTGCTGGCCCCTTCTTGCATTTGTGAAAATATATAATTTTAAGATACTTAAATACAAAAAGTCTTTAAAACTTTTAAACAAGAACTAATTTACTCAAAGGACATCGTATACAAAAAGATGATTGTCAAACATTCTTTCAAAATATTTTATTCCAAGTAAAAATTCATACAAGATGGAAAGCAGATTCCAGTAGATAATTAGGGAGAGCCTTGAGGAGCAGAGTCCTTGGGCTATCAAAATGATAAATTCAAAACAATTTTACATTAGAGACTTTAATTAAAAACAATGTTATTTCATGCGAATAACAAGTCCATGCTGGTCACCAAGTAATAAAAATTAAACCCTTACAACATATATACTTAAACACACAGTTCTTACACATTTCTCAGAAACAGCTATTTTAGCCCCTAAAGAAATCATGCCTTCTTACTTCTTATTCCTGTGGAAATTATTCAGTGTTTTAATTTTTTGTTTTGGTTTTGCAAGTAGAAGAATAATTTTTCCAAACAGCTACTGAGCAACCAAATGAACTCTTAAACTGGGAATTAATATTTAAATTATTTTTATGAAGAGAGAATCAGTAGATAATGGGTCTCTGGGCAGGAGAAGGGTGGCAGGGCTTACAGAGGAGTGGCTGTGAGCTCCGAAGGCCTTCTTCCTGAGAACACCTTCTTGTCAGGCACCCTTCCTCAAAGGCACACGCACACACACAGACACGCACAGACATAGACAGTCAGACACACAGACAGACAGACAGACAGACACACAGACAGACAGTCAGTCACAGAGACAGACACACACAACAAGAAAATAAGAGTAAAAGTGGAGCTCCTGGCCTGAGCAGGGGCTGAGCACTGTCCAGCCTCTGAGCTTCCAACACAGAAGGCTGGAGAAGAGGCTGAGTCCTGGCAGGCAAGGCTGTCCTGGGACACCGTGACCAGCATGGGAGAGAGGCTCCCTTCATTTTCCGGAGCTCTCACGGCCCCTGCAGGGCCACTTGCAGGCAGCCGACCCTTCCCAGAAGTCACTCCTTTGACCTACAGGCTTGCCAACCTTACCCTGCCCTTCCCTCCTGAGTGGAATCAGTGTCTGCCTCCAGGCCCTGAAGGGAGTTGGGCTGGGCCTCCTCTTCTTGCTCCTCAGAGCCAGACTCAGAGTCGTCGTCGTTGTAGAAATGAATGGTGGCTTGCACCGGGAAGCTGGCCAGCACCTTTTCCCCAGAACTCTGCAGGTATTCTTGACGCTTTGAAATGGGTAAGTAAAGTCTAATATTATAGAAACAAATAAACCATTAGTCGACCTAAAAAAAAAAAAAAGGACCCAAGCTCCTACCTCCTACCAAAAGCACCTCATTCCTTGTCCCTGTGCTTTCTGTGTACAAGGTGCTTTTAAGTTACCAGAACACAGAACTCAACACCTGCTGAGGAACTAGCTAAAACCCCACACCAATCCGAGTAGACCCACCATCAAAGAGGTTAACATTAGCAGGCTATGAAGACTCTGGGCTCTAATCTTAAAAGATCAGCTCTCATCAGATGGATGACTTCCTGGACAGTAGGTGTTCAAGTCTGTGTCTCTGTGTTGTGTCTCTCTGTGTCTGTGTCTGTCTGTCTGTCTGTCACACACACACACACACACACACACACACACACACACACACACACACCATGGATGATATGGATGACAGGAATGTAAACCTCTGAGCTTTGGAGGAAACTTGACTCTGAAACTCTGACCTGGAGGAATAACTGACTGTTCTAGAGATGAAGAGAAGGTGAAGGGTTGTGTTCCCCTCAACAGAAGGAAAATATGCACTCGGGGAAAGGCAAAGAGACAGAAGGAGAGAGGGAGGGAGGGAGGAAACGAGGAGAGGAGGGGAGGGAGCAAGGAAGAGGAGGAAGGGAGGAGGAAGGGAGCGGAAGAGAGAGCAGGTAAAGCGGATGGACAAAGGGAGGAGGGGATAGGATGAGAGGAAGGCAGGGGAAGGGAGGAAGGGGGGGAGGGAGGGGGACAAGGGAGGCAGGGAAAGAGAAGGAAAAAGTTTAAATGCATAAATTTGGAACCCCCAAGTTTTAAACTGAGGATTCCAGTTATAATGGAAAGTTTTTTAAAAAAAATACCACCCAATAATCTTTTAATTTTTTTTTTTTTACTTATTAACTCATTTGGCTTTTCCCCTTTGGTTTCTGAGGAAGTAGAGTTTCTTGGTTGATTGCTGCTAACTTTAGCTGGTATCCTCCTTCCTGGACAGAGGACAGGAGAGTGAATACTCAGGCTATCAACTGTGTGTGATGGCTCTGACTATAGAATCCTGAGACCCTAAGATTCCAGGGGAATCGGTGCTACCTCCAGGCACCCTCGGCAACATCTGGAGACAGTTTTTATTAACCTGACTGAGGGAAAGCTCCTGGTGTTTCTGGGCAGGAGTGGGAAGTGCTGCCAAGTGAACTGCTGAGCGGTCAGTGCAGTAGGAACCCTGTGGCAGACAGAGCACATGCAACGTACACCAACACATCTAAAACAGAAGTGTAAGCAAGGTTTAGGCTTGGCCATGCTTAAAATTAGTTTATTATGTAGGAGCGTTTGCCAATGAGTTTGAAGGGCAAATGGGATTTGGGATATGGCCAGTCTCAGCTTGTATTGAAACATTAAATGCATGAAATAAGGAACAGATTCCAGAAATAAAACAAATCATCCTTAAAATCCTTTGGTAAGGAAGCAAAATAAAACTAGATAATATATTTAACTCTCCACTTTGTTGAAAGTGCAAATGTGTACTATCACCACGTGCTTTTCACTACAGAGTAACGGATTACCTGACAGGATGCTGGAATCCAAAGGCTCCCCTTGATCCCAAGGTTTGTTGGTCCCCCCAAGGCTCACACTGCAAAGACAAATGTGTAGAAACACAGGTGTAGTCACAGAGCTCCAGAAGGTGCCATCTTGAAGTTTTAAAGACACAACTTAAGTCTGTCACGATCGCTAGAGTACTAGCCTTAGCGCGCTTAAACATTCCACGGCATCTCACAAGTTCTGCTTTCAGAATATTTAACCAGGTACCATGAGGGCTCAGACCTCAGATCTATGTGTGTGGTTGGAATGACAACTCTGAAATCTTGGTCCCCTTAAAAACACAGGACTATAAGCCTATTTTTTCATTTTAATCCCAGGTGTGGAGATGTGGGGCTGCTTCAGACTGTTCCCAGCAGCTGACTATGATTTGCCTTGTGCTCGAGCAGAAGCATGGTTTTGCCAGCTGCAGATAGTTTCTGTGTTTGTTGTATGGAATTCTGGGAACTTTTCAGAGGCTATATAAATGCTAGGGCCCCACGAGGCATGGTATGTTGGTTGTTGGTAGTTCAGGGGGGTGATTGTGGTTTGTTAGTAGTCATGCTCAAAGAAGAAATGAAAGAAATTAGATCCGGGGACCTCTATCTCTCCCCTTTATCCTTCTTTCTCTTCTATATAGTGATAGGTCTCTGATAGCTTTACAGAGTGGGTAATGGAGCTGAAATGCTGAGCAGAGAGATAAGAAAACCCAAGTACTTTTGGAATATATATATATATACACATATATATTATATATTAGTGAGATATTATGTATTATATAAGTGACATATTCTATATTATATAAGTGGGGTATTATATATTACACACACACGTATAATATATATGTTAGTGAGAACCAGATTAGATTAGAGACAGTACAAAGCCTGTCAATGAGGACCCAGAAGATCTTGAAATGGTTACTGTCCATGGCATTTCACATTTCACTCTGTAAGAGACCTTGGTGCATGAATATGCATGGTGTGTGTGTGTGTATGTGTGTGTGTGTGTAACATCTGTAAATAAACCGGACTACAAGATGCCCCTGCAGACACTAACAGTGCATCAGAGGTGTTTCTCTGTGATACACCGGAAAGATCTAAGTGGATACACGCGAGGATCTTCGGAACACAGTCCTTCACATTATTTCTGACTCTTCAGAGCTACAGGAAACAACTTCTGGATTCAGCTGTTTATAATCATCAACAGTCCTCTAAACTGAGGCTCTCACTTTGCAATCCTGTCCTGCTGAGGATGGCCTGTAGGGGGCAGTAGTGCACACTGTGATAGATGGCTAAGGGCAATGCTAATCTGACCAGAGAAAGGCTGCTGCTTCCTTAAGTGCCCTATCCTGACTAGACCAGGTACTAGAAACACATGTTCACAAGCTGTAGAAATGGAACCCCACAACATGGGCTCTTAACTTTTTATGCCATTTTTTTAACCTTTTTTTTTTTTTTTGACTTTTTAAGACAGGGTCTCAATGTGTAGCACAGGGTGACCCACAATTTCACTCTGTAGTTCAGGCTGGCCTCACATTTTTAGAGATCTTCCCAAGTGCTAGGATTGCAAACATGAGCCACCACACCTGGCTTTCAAAAGATCTTAAGAAAAGATCAGTCCTCATGGAGGGATCATTTAAACACTTTGGTGATTAGATGGGACCAGAGCGATAAACCAGCTAAGCAGCGTGTTTAAGGTGTGTGCATCTTTAAGTTCCAAAGGGCAGGCTCAAGCAGAGAGTTTCAGCTGTGAACTTCTGACTGTAAGGCTATGGTGGGAAGTCTGGATAGCAGGACAGGTGTAGGCCCTGGCAGTGTGGACAAACGGCCAGGAGGGAAATATGCTGAGGCCAAAAAACAGCAAGGGTAGGGGGACTGTCATGCTGCACAGTGAGAGAAACATCTGTTTATCATCAAATATGCCAGTCCTGGGTTCATCATTAGGGCCAGTCTTCTCCCTCTCCTCTCCTCTCCTCTCCTCTCCTCTCCTCTCCTCTCCTCTCCTCTCCTCTCCTCTCCTCTCCTCTCCTCTCCTCTCCTCTCCTCTCCTCTCCTCTCCTCTCC